TAATTTTTATTTTCATTGATAGTCCAACATATTCTTGCTTCCACATTTTCACAACGTTGTATTATATGGGATTTAAGAAAAAATGAACCTATTATCAAATTAACAGATGCAAATTCAAAGGTAACTTGTACTATGTATTTTATCTACATTTTGCTTATATAACATCATGATTTTTATATTTTATATGCAAATATAGGTAAGATGGAAAGTAGTACAATGGCATCCAGATGTTGCAACACAATTATGTTTAGCATCAGAAGATGATCAAACTCCTATAATTGAATTATGGGATTTAAGATTTGCAACATCACCTTTGAAAACATTTCAAAATCATCAACGTGGAGTTCTATCAATTGCATGGAATTTACATGATCCAGATTTGCTCTTAAGTTGTGCCAAAGATAATAGAATATTATGTTGGAATCCTAATTCAGATATACCAGTATGTTTAGTATTAGTGTTTAGTATATTTATAAATGGATTCATAATTGACTTTTAAAATTCATGTATATTATTTATTTTAATATATAGAATGGGGAAGTAATTTGTGAATTAGCACAAACAAATCAATGGAATTTTGATGTCTCATGGTGTCCAAGACATCCAGGATTAATTGTGGGAACTAGTTTTGATGGACATGCAGCAGTTTACTCTTTATTAGGAGGACAACAACAAAAGTCTGTAGAAACATCCAATAAAATTGTAGATTCTTTCCCTGGAATGGATCCTTTCACACATCCACCTCCTCCAGTACATATTGAACCAACAGTTATTTTGACAAAAGCTCCAAAATGGCTAAAAAGACCATTTGGAGCATCTTTTGGAGTAAGAATCTATTTTTAAATATGTAATGTTTATTAATTTTCATATATTATAGTATCAAATTTATATAACAGATAAAATTTTTTTAGTTTGGTGGTAAATTGATAATTTTTGAAAATGGATCTGTAGATCCTAATCTACCTCCAAACTCAAACAGAAAAGTAATTATATCACAAGTAGTCACACAACCAGATTTAATTCAACGTTCAAATGAATTGGAAGAAGTTCTCAAAAGTGAGCAATACAATGATTATTGTAAAGGAAAGGTTGAAAGTACTACCGATATATATAGAAAAAAGATATGGAATTGCGTGGCTGCATATTTCGGTGAAAATGTGACAAAAGACATATTGGATTTACTTGGTTACAATGTGGATGCAATGAATAATAAATTAAATCAATTTATTTCGCAAGAAGATATTAATAATATTACGGAAGGAATCGGTAATTTAAATAATGTAAGTTTTATTTTAATGTAAATTTTATCATATTTATCACAAAGAAATTCTATACAATATTAATTATATAATAAAATATATAATTATTTAGGTACTTAATGGAAGTGCTATTGATGGAACTACAGCGTTTGATGCTATTGCACAAGAATCTAAGAAAGCAGCAATAACTAATCTAAAAAATAAAAAACTTCAAATTAATGTATCTGATGGTAATATTAAATAAATTTAAATTCATTTTCAAATTTATTAATTATATATTTAAAATTCTTTTTTTATTTTTATTTTATTTTTATTGAATTTAATACTAGAATTTTGTTTTCGTTATTTCAGATGAGGATGGGCTTATCACTCAAGCGATCCTCTTAGGAAATATAGAAGCTGCAGTGTCATTATGTTTTGCGAATAAAAGGTACGCAGATGCGGTCATTCTTTCAATGGCTGCTGGACCTGATTTGTTAGCACGTACCCAGTACAGATACTTTTCAGAACATTCTGGAGCTCTCAATTCTCTTATCAATTCGCTAGTTAGTGAAAATTGGGCTGAAATTGTTAACAATGCTGATATAAATTGTTGGAAAGAAGTATTGATTGGAATATTTACTCATTCCAATCCACAAGAACGATCTGCTTTATGCGGTATATATTTTATTATAAAATATATATAATAATTTAACTTTTGTAACAAATAAAAATTCTTAAATTTTACAGATATGCTTGGGGATCGTTTGGCATCGTCCGATAATGTAACGTTTAAAGAACAAGCTCAGATTTGCTACATTTGTTCTGGCAATTTGAGCAAACTGGTAGAATCTTCCGACGTTGAAATTCAAGAAATAGTAGAGTTAATAGTTATAATGCAAAAAGCCTTAGAAATGCAAGGTATTAGAGATGTACAAATAGAAGGAAAAATCGCAAATATTTTATCTCGTTATGCTGAAATGTTAGCAGCCGAAGGAGATCTCGATGCTGCATTGAATTATCTAGGAAATAGTCAAGATGAAAAAATCATAATGTTGAAAGATCGTTTATGCAGAGCTTTGGGTTATATTGAAGAATCAAAAATTATGCCAAAAGGACCAACAATGCAAAATTATTACGATCGAACAAGAAGATCTTTACAAGGTGTACAAAATCCACTATCTGGAGGATCAACAAGACCCTTTTTTGATTCAAATATTGCTCCTACAAAACAATCCTTTATACCACCTCCAAATCAATTTAATACTCAACAACAACAACAATCATTTGGAATACCACCTTCACTTCAACCACTTCAACCACTTCAACCACTTCAACCACTTCAGCCAACCTATGCAAGTCAATCTATAACTCAACCTATGCAACCTACACAGTCTATGCAACCTATGTTATATGATCAAACATCGCAATCTTACACTTCAACATCTATTTCTCAATCACTTCCACCACCACCTCCTTCAAATACATCAAGTGGAGTTGGATCTCGACCTCCTAGCGTTGGACCTCAAGCGAGATCAAAATATATAATAGATCCATCTGTAAAATCTACTTCAACATATGGACAAAGTGGTTTTCCTCAACAAGCATCTCCATATAATAATCAACAAATTCCTCCAGTACCAGGCTATTCTTCATCAAATATTTATCAACCTCAAGTTCCTATGTCAACAAACACATTCCCCGGACAAAATCTTATATCTAATCCTAAAGAAGTAGAATCTTTTAAACCAGTTCAACTTAGTGTATTATCTCCATTACAAAATCAACCACAAAATCAAATGTATGAAGCTATTAGAACGCAACCACTCCCGCAAACTGGATATGGCAATGAAAATCAATCATCTATGGATCGTTCAAACATCTATCAACCACCGCTACAACCTGCCGGATGGAACGACCCACCCGCTGCAAAGCCATCTAGGATACAAGTAAATATCTTTATATTTCTTCTATACTAATATACCTGGTGTTGCGTTAAAATAGTAATTAATTATTATGTATATACTTATATTATATATATATATATGTGTGTGTATATTCGAATAATATAGCCAGTACTGGCATTATGCAACAAAAATGAAATGTCTGCGGATCATGCTGGTACCAAGAAGTGGAAAGCAAAATATTCGAAGAATATGAATATAAAGGTATTCTTAAGGACACCTAAAAAGATTGAGTGTTGTTTCCACTGTTTCATAATTGCGATTTCTTTTTAAGCAAAATATATTTATTCCCCTATATTTTAAATTCAATTTAGTAAATCATAAATAACAATCTCGTGTGATTAACTAATGCGACAGTGTGAAATATAAGGATGTTTCTATTTGCTTTATACAAAAATTGAAATTATGCAATTATATTTTACAATTTATATGTACTATTTTATTACAGCAATTAATATAATGAAATTTTTTTTATATATAATATAGTATTACATTTTTTACAGTCAAAACAAGATTTTCAACCACAAAATCCGATTTTACATCCATTAAGAGGGACAATACCACAATCTGAACCAAATGTAAGTGATACAAATAAGATTCTTTCAAAATTATATAATACTATTAATAATTAATATTTTTATTATTACTAATTTTATACTATTATTATTCTTAAGGTTTTGCCACAAGAGAGATTCTATCCAGAATCACAAGCACCTTATAATCCTCAACAATATAATCAAAATATGTCAAATATAGGTGCTCAATATGTTAAACAAATGGAATCTTCACAATCAACTACAATTGCTAGAACATCAGAACCAGAAAAACCAAAACTACCAATACCAGAACAACACGTGCACTTGAAAACAGTATTTGATGAATTAAAAAAACAATGCTTTGAAAATGCTAAAAATCTGGTAAGATGATTCTTTTTTATTAACATAATAATTTTTATTAATAAAAAAAATAGACAATTACGGTTTTTATTTTCGCAAAACAGCAAATCAAACGCAAAATAGAAGATGTATCCAAAAAACTTGATGTTCTATATGATTGTCTTAGAGAGAATAAGGTGTGTACATACATCTTTATGAGATATATATTTTATTATTAATTTAGAAGAAAGAAATCCTAAAAAAATAAAATACATTTATTGCTTTATCTTTTTTACCTTATAGTTATCACAGAATACTTTACAAGGATTACATCAAATATCACAGATGATACAAAGTGGAAACTATACTGGAGGCTTAGAACTTCACACACAATTGGTGTCAGGCCCAGATTTCAGTCAGATATCTTCTTTCATGCCTGGTATTAAAGTATTATTATTAAGTGCCCTTCAATTGAATGTCTACATTAGATAGAATGCAATATATAAAACTCAAAATCTTTATACTTATTCATTTTTATAATTTGAATTTTTTATAATCTTTAACAGTCTTATTAAACGAAGTATTTATGTTACATTTCTATACTATTCAATGCAGTATGAATAGTCGTGAATATTTGTATATAAACTTTATGACTGAATATTATATCATCAATAAAATCATAATGTTTATATATTTACATTTAAAAAAGATGGCTTATCAAGATTATAGATAAGCTTGTGTCATAACTTCTTTACAATTAAAAATATTTCATTATATGTAAGAGCATGTAAAAAATAGAAAAAATATTCGGGTAAATATTTCAGCGAATTGTTAATTAAATTTTGTTTCTTTTAATATGTGTACATAAAATATTAAAGTTGGCTTAAGAAAATCATGTGTATATTTTTAAAAATAAAAATATTATACAATAATTTTACTAAAATTATGTATTAAATTTGTTATTGACAAGATTTGATAAAATGATTTATTGAATAATTAAACTGTGTAGTATGGCTACTTTTTCATTGATAATAAATTTTTGTAACAATTCATCTAATGGATCGATACCGTCTCGTGCTGCTTGTCGACGCATTGCTTGTTTTACTTCTTCGCGCACACCTTTATCTGCTCCACGAGTTGTAATACGTCGATCTAGAATATTTTTATATAGATAATAATATTTTTATATAGATAATAAACAAGATATGATACCCAAAATATATATAAAATACAAAATAATATACTTTGTAGAACCCCTGATCCTGTAGCAATATCTAAAGATACACCACCTCCATGTTCCGTCCATAGATACGTTAATTCTTCTAAAATATCTACACATATAATATAAGCCTGAAATAATGGATAAGAAAAAGATCCACGATTAATAATCCTTTCTGTAATCATAGATAAAGTACTAGCTTCTTGTGGCCAGTCAATTTGCATTAAAACTAATGCATGTCCTATCGCCAAATCTCCAACACCACCGGGTAAAGAAAAGTTTTCCTATCATAAAATCAATATTATAAATATAATGGTAGTATCGAAATATTTTTAAATCTAATTTTATTCTATTTACCTTTATTGCTAAAAGAAGCAATCTACAACAATACTGTATAACAGGAAATCGTGCAAGTGTTAAATAATGTAAATGTCTTCCACATGGAACAGTTAAATTATGAGATACTTTACCGCAAATTGAAGGTAAAGTAGTAATTACCAAAACTATATATTCTAACATTCCCTATAAAATATATAATTAAAAATATATTTATAAAATATATAAGAAAATGTAATTAATATAAGAATAATATAAAAATTAATAAGAACATAGTACATACCTTGTAATCTTTCAAGAAAAAACATGTACTTGCTAAACGAAGATGAGCAGACAAATTACCTGCTTCTTGAGATAATCTTGCTAATACTTCATGATGTAAACCTTTATACATAGCTAAATCTGTTAAAAATGAATTTAACCACGAATCTAATCGAAGTTGTTGATTTAATTTTCCTATTTCTCTTTGCAAATAATCACTGCTATGTAACAAATCCCATAACTTTACAGTTAAAGCTAAACCATTACCGCTATAATCACCATCACTAGTTATTATAATTCCTCCATTATCTTCTCTTTTCCGTTTTTTTAGTTTTGGTTCTAATCATTATAAAAATCATTAAATTTTTATTTTAAGATAAAAATAATAAATTATTATGTATATAACTGTTACCTGTAGGAGAATGCACACATTCTCCAAATGCTTCTATCAAACAATATGTTGTTTCATCATTACTAATTAAGACATTGTGTTCATTTAATATTCTTAATAATACTGCAACAGTACACATTAATAATTGTCTAACTACCAATTCTTCACATAAACTAGCAGAATGAGCAACTGCATATTGATGTAATTTTTCACAATATGCATCTCTATTCCAAGTCATAGAAAATAAACTACTTAATTCCCATCCTAATTTTTTCCCAATTAATTCAACAACTTGAAACAATCTATCCCAGGGATGTTGAATTTGATTATCTTGTGGTTGTTGTATATATGCCAAATAAAATTCTACTGCCTTATTAAGTAACCTCAAGCTAAGTCTTGCATTTAGTTCTACTGGTGCAGTACCAAGAAGTGGTAATGCATCACAAGCTAATAATTTTCTGAAACCATTTACTGCACGTCCTGGATGACTATGTTTTTCTGCAGTAAGAAGAGTTTCTACTAAACGTGGCTGAAAATATAACAACTTAATGAAAACATCAAATATATTTTGTATAGATATATTAATTAAAGATACATACTCCATGAGTAGCAATAGTTTGAGGAAATTTACGTAATAAAAGAAGTAATAATTTACAATGTTCCATTGTATCTTCACTATGATCAGCTGTCATGATAAGTAATCTATGTTGAAGTTCTTGAGGTATATGTTGAAACATTTGACATAAAAATTCTGCTTCAGCATCACATTGTTCTAAACGAAGGCAAGCTGTTACTGTTTCTATTTCCTTCCATATATCTCGATCATCTGGAAAATTCTGAAATCTATTCTTACATTTAAATCATTGTTTTCATACATGTAAATATTCTTTATATTATAACATAATTTGACTCACATCTCACTAAAACATTTTGCTGCTTCCTTCACATTTTTTGATAATTTTTCAATCCGATAAGCTTCAAACTATTAAACAAATAACATAACTTATTATTAAAAATTTATTATTTTATTATTTAAAATATTTTTAAAAAATACCAATAATTTAATTCCATAAAATTGTTTGTAAAATATTTCTATCATTCTTTTTTAAAAAATTCCGAATATTTTATATATATATTATATTATATATATATTAATAAGCATTAAAAATACTAACCTGTACTTTAGCACTATGAGGAAACAACGATCTAGCAGTAATTAACCAGGATTTAGCTGCATAAATATCAAGTGGCAATGCCTCTTTTGCTCGCATAATTAAATAATCTTCTTTGGATAATTGATTATTATCAGTACTAGATTTTTTTTCTAACATATTTTTGGTTATTCAAAAATTATAAAATCGCATGAGGATACCTGTAAATACTACAGTATTGATGAATAAAACATTAAATATAGAAAAAATATACAGATGAATGACATAATAATTATTAAATTTCACAGTCAACTACTACATAGTACCTACCACAGACAAAATATGTAATATTAATTTATCGTAATTTTATTGAATGAAAAATAGAAATAATAAATATTTTATAAAGTTAATAATAATATAATAATAAATTATAATTCATAATTATATTAAATGCATACTTAATTACAAAATTTTTATTTATTTCAAATATTTATATTAAACGACGATATATTTATAGTTTACTAAAACTACTATGTAAATGATGAACAATCATAATTCTCTTAAATTCATTGTATAATTTTATCATGATCTTTCAAATGTATAAAGTTATAAAGTAAAAATAGAAAAAAAAATAAATAATAGCAGATAAAAATAATATAGAAAATACAGAAATCAACACATTTCCAAAGTATTGATTAAATGAAATTAATATAGAAAAAGGGAGCAAATAGAAAAAGAATAAAATAAGAATTGATCAATGTCATCTTTTAAATATCAAAAACATTTCTTCAAAAATAAGGTAAAGAAGAATAAGAATTGAAAATCAGCACCATCTTTTGAGTGCCAGGAACATTTTTCTAAAAATACTCAAGAAATAGCGCTAAATTCAATTCGTTTTATCTTATCATTTTAAAAAGTTATTTTTAATACTCAAAAGATGGCATTTATGATTAATTCATATATTTCTGTTCTTTTTTTCATTATTTATATATATATATATAATTATATATATATTATATATATTATTTATATATATAATATATGTGTACATATATATATATATACTAAAATTTTATTCGCGGCATTCTAGAGATGGCACTGATTTAATTTTCTAATTTTTAACCTATCTCTATTCTCTCATTATTTTTCTTTACTATTATCTTTATTTAGTTTGCAACGTTTATACATTCAATGACGCTGATTTTTGATTGTTTGTGATATTCGGTAATAAACATCATTATTATTCAACTAGATTAACACACTTTGAATAAAAATAGTTTTCCTAATCATTTCGTATTTTTCATTTGACAATGTGTCAATAACTTTATTTCCTTTCTTTTTTGTTTTAGTAAATATTCTTAATATCTAAAATGTTGTCAGTTGGATCGTAGATTTTAAATTTATTATTAAGATAATAATTCTTTTTAAAATAAAATAAAAAGATGATAAGAAATAATTAACGCGTACAATCGGATATACATTTTATTGGTCCAGCTGTTCAACTACATAGATCTATTTATAAAACTTTTACAAAATGTTTAACGCTTCGAAATGGGAGACCTTTTGCCTATTTCTTTCTCTTTTTCTCACTTCCTTTTCATTTCGTTTAAAAAGAAGTTATGATTTTTCGTAAATGTCGATTTACAAGAAGCTTTCACAAGAATCAAGTATTATATTTTATGTATATATGTGTAAATGCATATATGTGTGAACATGTATCTGTGATTTGTGTATTCATGTGTGAATGCATAGATGTGTTTGTGTGAATACGTTAGAAAGAATTCTTCGACGATATATCTACGAATGTGAATTTCAGAAGACAGTCAAATGTTGAAAAGCGACTTTCCGTCTCAAAGTTTATCGTGATTGTGCAAATACTTTACGGCTAACCATCAGGAAGTTGCAAAATTTCCTTTGTTTGATTTGAAAACTTTTCTTTAAACGTTCAGTAACGATTTCTCGCTTCGAGAATCGAATTCGATTTTCATAACCTCATTTTTACTCGCAAAACTTTTCCTTTTTTTAAATTATTTTTGATTTTTTAAGCGTACATTTAGTAATTACAAAACGAAAAACAGTACACGAATAGAAATCGAAAAATTTTGATCTACAATTTTTTTTACAAAGATTCGCTAAAATTGGTACGAGGGTATAAAACTTGATTTTACGCTCTTCCATTTTTGAATTTCGCACTCGAGATTATTTTTTTAGGATCGTGGGAGATTGAATTCTCAATGGATCATAAAGATTAGAAAAAAATATCTATTTGTTTTGTGATTTCTTTTCTCCTTCTTTTTCTTGGATAGAAAGATACGAATGTAGAAAAAACACTCGAGGTTATTCGGATTTGGTACTTTTTGAGACAATCAGAAGAAAGGAATTATCATATATTTTTTATAAAGTACCTTCGATATTTTCTTTATCTTATCATTTATATTTTATTTATTTTGTGTTTCCACAGTCGAAGATGCAAATTTGAAATTTTTAATTTGAATGCAACTCCAAATTTTCGAATATTGAAATATTTTAATATCCCTATAATTTGAATAGTATTCATACTATTCCTACGAAATTGGCATCACACCAAACGTAATAATTTATTTATTAGAAAATAATAATTTATCAAGAACAGCTATTGAAATTTGACTTAAATAATAATTTACAAAAATTGAAAATTTGCATCCTCGATTTTCTTCATTTAACTCTCGATCACGATTGAAATCGAAATCAAGTGTTCATCGAAAATCATCGAAAATACACGTGTTTTGATAGACAAATAATCCTACGATGAGTGAGTTTCCGCTGGTTTGAGTAATTCGCTGTTTCACATTCGGATTATTACATTTAAAATGTTTGATCATTCACGAAGATATTGAAGAATTACTATGCGAATAATGTTTTATAAAAATTGGCAGTATATAAACAATTCACCACAGAGAGAATTAATGAAGAGTGTCATGAACATTTCGAAGGAGAATAGATCGAAAAGAACGACATATCGATTCTCTTATTCGTGAAAATTTCGTATATCGTTCGTTTAACTAGGCGAAACTCCATATATTAGAAACTATACAATACGTTGTGCTTTCATGAACTCGTGATGATTTTTTTTATATTTTTGCTTTAATCCTTTGACAATTTAACAAAACTTTTCTAAATTACAATTAAGAAGCATATGTACAATTTTCTAAGTTTTTAGAAATTCTAAAGAAATTAGGAGACGCTTATTAATATTTAATATTTAAATTAATTTTCAATATGTTTGAAATATTGAATATTGAATATGATTTTAAACTAAATTTTTACGAGAATCTAAAGATAAAAAAATATTATAAAAAATATAAAAAACATTCCTAAATTAAATTCCTAAATTTAAGAATAGTAGTAAACTAGAAAACTTCTATATTTTATTCACAAGTTAAATTGTCAAAGAGTTAAACAAAATTTTATAACTCTCGAAATAATTGGTCATCAAAACTTCTTCAGTCTATCGTTATTTAAAATTCGATATTCTTAGTCATTTTCAAAGTTTCACAATCAATTTCTTTTTACGATTTTACGAAAAATCTAAAAATTTGATCTTTATACGCAAAGAATTAAAAACAAATATATTTCGCATGATTGAGATTGAAGATTAAAATTTTCTTCGAATTGCTAAAATTTTAATAAAATTCAAATGGAAGTTGAATTTTATCTCATTCGACATTTATTTTTTGAGCGACAATCTATTTTTTGATTTTCCGGATCGTTACACCCTGTTAGTCGTACGAAATATTTTCCAGTCGAACAGTGTTGAATTGACGAAGCAAAACTTTCGATAGATCTTCGACAGCGATTTTAAGCGCGTGGAGCGACAGCAAGAAGCGGAAGTGTACAATATGGTGTCCCTTCAGGGGACCATCTAGCAAAGCGAATCGTTTGTACATCCGAGTTAAGATTCTCTTTGGCTTGGCAAACGTTCTTGTGGCATCTTTCAATTTCTCGTTTGAGTTTCTTTTTATGTAAACATCATCTCAGAAGCTCGTGAATCGTTTTGAAGAGCTTCGATAAACATACAGTAAAAGCTAGCGAATAGAATTTTTTCTCTCCTCTTTATTTCACTTTTTCTTTTTTTTTTTTTAATCGTGATAAACAAACGATAGTCGCGTAAACCTAGAACACTTAATATTCAGGTACTAATCACTTTATCGTTCGGTGACTCGATTGCTATATCAAAGTCTTCGAGATGAGTTTCTTTTTAATTTATTAAGAGCTAGTAGGAATAAAATGTTCGAATCTTTGTCTGGTGTCTATGAGATAGATAGACTTGGCATAGTAATTTCGTTCAATTTTTTTTTTGAAATTTTATTAATTAAGAATTTTTTTTTTTAATTTTTTTACGATGATTGGATAAATTTAGACTAAAATTATGAAATATTGCAAAAATCTATTTTCTTATTTTTGGAAGACAAATTAAATACTTTTAACATTGAAATTGTAATCAAAATTTAATATTTTTCTAAAATTTTTTAAATTTTCAAAATTAATTACGCGAAAAGAGAAAAATAAAAAAAACATTTAAAAGTAAATTACTATTTAACAATTAAATCTAGCTTTTTTATTATAAATATTAATTTGAATATTATTTTAATCTTTCCACATATTTAATTTTTGAATTAAATTAATTTCCATAAAATTCCAATGAACATGAAAGCGGCACCAGTCAAAGATTGTAATATTGACTCAACGTATCTTGATTTTTCATCAATGGATTCTTACACAAAGATTCCATTTTTAATAGCAAATAATTTCTACTAGAATTTGAATGAAAAGTTTAATTAGCTACGGATAGAACATTTGTTTGCAGGCTGTACAATTTTTTTTTAAGCATTTCTCTTTAAAGTCTATTTCCTCTTCTGTCCTTTTTCTTTTCTTATTTTATAAATTTGAAAGGAAACAACGATCGCTCCTCTAACAAGGACAATAATTGAGCTTTTGGATATATTATACATGAATTATAGAAGATTCGCCGATATATTCGATCACGAGCGTGCCCTTTTGATTTTTCTTCGTTATATCGTTATTATCGTTATGCGTACATTTAATTGTTCCTAAATTGTACTTACTTTCCAGGTTTCTACGTAATGTATTATTAAAACGTAAGTAAAGTTTCTAAATGATTTTGTGTCACGATCATGGAGACCAGCTCCATTTTCTATATGTATATCTTTCTCTCTAGAAACTCGATTATATCATACGGTATATGTCAATTCTTCATTTCCTCGTCTCTTTTCTTTTCTTTTTTTTTCTTGCTTTTTCTGTTCTTGTTCTCTTTTTTTTTATAATCCTAAATGTTATTTTCTGAACACACACGAGAGAGAAGTATCGATCCATTTACGGTTGAATACTTTTTAAACGAACATAGAAAGATATTTTTACATGTATATTTGAATAGTTTCTTTAAATAAATATTTTAAATGAAAATATTTGAAAGAGTTAACATCTTAGTTTTGATAAAATATATTTAAAAAAAAAAAGAAGAAATTTTTGATACTATATAATTTTTTTAAAAAATTTAGAAAAATTAAAAGTTACTAAAAAATAAAGTAAAATACGTATAGATATATACCTCTCTCTATAGTAACATTGTAACTAAGAAATCATTAACACGGATAATATTTCCCTAAGTTACTTTGATACTGCAATTATACATCAGATAGACTATATAAATTTCATTTATATACGTTTTAACACCATCTTTTCATTTCACTTTTTATCATCAACAGATGAGAGGCATAAAACTTCTTCATGGTGCATTTTAACATTTTAATATTTGTTTTTCTGAACACTCATTATCTTTTCTTTTCACTCGAATTTGATTTTTATCAGTCAATTTGGTTAATTCTTGTTTTCGAATCAACAAGATTATACAATCAGATTCTTCTCCAAGAAATCCAACATATTTTCTTTATAATTCGAGGAACTCGAAGTGTCTTCTTTTGATTTGAAAATAATTCTATAATATATATATATATATAATTATTAATTCAATAATCAATAATAATTATAAATAATTATCACTCAGATTATTAAAATGGCTTTATTATATTATTAAATCAATAATGAACTAAATTATTCATTAACTATTTAGCAACAATACATTATTCATTTGTGCAATCAAGCTTGATGATTGAAATCAAGTTTATTATTCCATGTAAATTAATATTTCATTATAGAACCATTTATATTAATCAAAATTATATTAATCAAAATTTTGTAAATTTCACTAATGTTCCAATAGTTTATATATTATAAAATTAATCATTGTCACATCTAAAAATTTAACAAATTCAATCAACTTTTTAACAATCTTTAAAAATCTTTGTAATTAATTAGAATTCAAAATTTACTTCCTATCATACATTTTCCTATCCTCAATATTCAATAAATAAAAATACTCAACCCACATACCATCATCCTTCAAAAAATATTCAAAAGAAACCTTGGAATTCCTCTACTCCATCATCAATCGCTCATGTTCATCATAGGCGGTTCATTTCCGATCCACCAGCATTCACTTGCATGGTCAGTAGCGCGTGATCGATGCAAACTCGAATGAAAATTTGGTCTCGATGAGGGCGTAGATTCGGCTGTTGAACGATCTTGCACGCGGGCCATCCTGTTTTCGACATGCATCGTCGGCTTGGCATCTGCCAATCGGCTCCAGTTGAATAGAATTTCCGATGACAATGAGATTTCGATGTCAGCCGCGCTGTATTTCGAATATATATATATATATATATCTCCACCCACGAACACCATCACAATAATAGCCTTTGTATTGTTCACGGATATTGCGCTTACAAAAGATCGTTTCGATTAACCGAACCAGAGGATTACGCGTCTCTCCGCTCTTCATCCACTCGCTCTTCTGGCCGCGCGCATTAACGGGCAATAATTGTCGGATTTTAAAGAGTAATGAAGGTTTCGAAGTCGAGAACTGGGAAGTGAAAGTGAATGTACAGGGTGGATTGAATATCGAGAAGAATTAACAATAACAGACTTTAAAGATTTTGAGAAAGATTTCAGAATGTAAGAAAATTTTTTTTAGAAAAATTTAAGTTTGTAGTAATAACTATCTTTTTTCAATTTTATTAATGTGGTCTCTTAATAAAATTATAATCCACAATTTTATGATTTGATATAAATTTAGATATAATTTTTTTATAATTATAGATAAAATTTTTAATAATAGTATTAATGAGTATTTTGTTAAAAAGATTTTAATTTATTGAAGAATTTAAATTATTAAAATATTTTTCTATTTTTAAAAAAGATAATAAAATGATTATTTTAAATAAAGATCTTTCAATTATTATATTATATTATTTGAGATAAAATTGTAAAATTGTAAAAATTTGTAACTTGCCAATTTATTAATATTAATATTTTTTGTAATAATCATTGTGTAAAATATAAAAATGAAAATAATCAGGCGACTCACCCTATATATTGAATATTTGGGAATCATTTGATACGTTTGTTTTCAGGCACAGGATTCGAATGCAGGATGAATTGGAGAACAAAAGAATGGGGAAAATGGTTTACGTGACATTTCCTGGCGTTTCTAAACTTGAGCGCAATCTGACTTTTGTTTTCCACCATGAATGAAGAAGATTTCGCAAGATTTCGCAACAAAAAAACGACAGTTCAAAGAATAAGTAAGAGAAAGTTGAACAGGTTCATATGCTGAAAATGAAAATTTTTAGATTTTTACATTCAAAAATCAAAATAAAAAAATTATATAAAAATATCCTACCTTTTAATCATAATAAAATAAAACAAAAATTTTTCAAAAATTATTATAAATTAAATAAAATCCATGTTATTATACAGCAGTCTTAAAAACATCAAAAGATTTACAAAACATAGTGAAATTTTATACGATTATTCACTGGAAGCCAAAAAGATATCAAAAATTTAGAGAAAGAAAAACGTATAGGTGTACTTCCTACAGCAATACTTGAATCTTAAAAATGGTACAATCCCGGATTTACCGCGGTCGTAAAGATCCTTTTTCACCGTAAAGTCTCTCATTGTCTCAGATTACAATCTTCAAGGCAAGCTATTGCGAATCCTCTTCTTATTCCCATTCCATCAAGGATCCAAGAAACGTACGGATTCACATAAATAATGATCAAAGATTCTGCGACAATCACGTTCTTGACAATATCGTTTTTTAGTCGGACTTGTTCATCTAAAACAGGCCTAGCTAACTCAAATTGTTCCACTGGTTTGCAAATGAAATGAACAAAAGAAATTTCTTGCATTTTTTAAAAATATAAATTTGTACAAATATACATAGTCTAGTTATTTTATCCACAATTGTTAAACTTTTAAAAATTCATTTCATTATTCGCACTATCGATCAAATTTTTGGAATTATTATACATTCCATAAAATCTAAGATTTTAAAAGATACTCAATTTTGTATTCTACCTGCAAAATTAATAAATTGAAGTAAACAAAATTAATTTAAAGAATTTCTTAAGATTCCAATCTTTTGATTATTAAAAATAGAACATAAATTACAACTTACACTTTTAAAATAAATTAAAAAATTCTTATGACTATCCAAAGAGTTGGCCAGGCCTAATATAAAACATCAACAATAAAACACAACTTCTCAAAAATCCCAATGTTTCCATCACAGCTCCAAGCTTGTCTATTATCATTGTCCATCTCAACATTACTCCATCAAATTCATTCCTTTGCTCTTTACCCTTTCTTCTCTATTTATTAAACGCTAGTGGTGATCTGTTCGATCACAGTTACGTCCCTGTACCGTCTCGGCCGACTTCTGTACGAGTCCTGATGACTCAAACCCTCGGGCACGCTCTTGCTGGGTCTCAAAGGCCCGTAGAATTGCGGTTGATAATAGTGTTCGGCAGTGTGCATCCTCTCCATCTCCCTCTCGCGGAAATGCTCTTCGTCGAGGGGCACGTGTAACGACTGGGACTTGGGCAACCTCGGTCTTGGCGGTGGAGGACAGGCACACGGCGGAGGTATGCTCATATTTGAGAGGTGCGACGAGCCAGGAAGAAGAGGAGACGCCGGTTGGCGACCCCAACCCACCAGGAAGAGTAACGCTGCACCACACAAGGAACTTAACGTGCACGCGTAGTAACCCACCCTCGAGCTGTTCGCGTTCATGTAACCTGCAATTTGAAGATAGAAATATCGTTATTGAAGGATGATTGATAGAATAGATGGTTGAAATTGGATATAAAAATTTCTGTATCATGAAATTACATATTATATAAAATACATACAAAATATATAATTTTTTTTCGTAGCTTTTTTTAAACAATATGTAATCTTGCGTTTATATAATTTACTAATATTTATATTTATATTTTTCTCTTATTTTTGGAAGAAACTTTTAATTTACCAGTAAGAGGAACTCCGAGAAGAATAGGTAAAGCTTCTGCAGCCTGCACAAGTGCCCAGGAGCGTGCGAAGTGTCTGGCTCTTAGTCTTTCGAGGGCTAACATTTTTAAGGAGTAAAGGGCTCCACCGAGAGACGCACCGTACAAACCGGAAGCCAATACCAACCCGTGGTAGCCTTGCACGCTGCCCAATGCCACTTGAGCTATAGCTGAAACAGGAACAATATGGTGAAGATAGATGTTTTCCTTGATTATTTATTGCAATAGAACTCACATAAAAAAGTCTAATCTTTAAAGTGATATTGACAATTTTTGAGATACAAATTAAAATTAAAATTTACAAAATATAAATTTTCATATAAATCTTTGAATAATTATTACCATAAAAAAAAAAACATTGATCACACATAGTTCATACATTTATAACTCTTTTGCATCACAGTCGTAACTTGATATTATCATCAATTAAAACCCAAAATTCTCACGAAAGTTAATTCTTGGCTATACAATCAGTAGCACGTTTATAACACTTTTAAGATTGCCATCCATGTTTCAACGCAGAGAGATCCGGTGAATGGTTATGGAGCATTGAAGCTCAATTTATTTCGTAATCCTCTTACCGATGCACCGGTCATTAGCGTTGGCCGGAAATAAAGCAACGAAACACAATTTCACCTAAGCCCCGATTGTTCGATACGGCGATACTTTTTCTCCATAATTGACGCGTCGAATATTGATATTATCCGTTAACTGTATTATATTTCTATTGGTGGAAAAATGTGTCGATCAATATCGTGAGATATCCTCACGATATCGAAATTAGTTTCTGTATAAAAATTTTATCCATTAAACTTGATTATACCATTCTTAAAGTGTTTATATCAAGTCGAATCTCGTGCAAATTCAAGTTTACTTTAAAATTATTTATATATTCGATATCTTGTCATACGATTCAAATTCAATTTTCTTCATTGAATTATATTTTCATAGAAATGAACAGGTTGGACAAGTGGAATAGGTTAAGAGTTAGACTGGCATGTGACAATTGTTCTGGAGTGATTCCGATTCGCGTGGAAGCATGAAGGGTTCAGCAAACGAGACGAGATAATGAGACGCATGAAACGATGGTGAAAAAGGTTGATGAGACAATGATGATGGAGGTGAGGATGGAAGATGAAAACGATGGTGACGTATGATGACGTATGACGGCGTTGCCTACAAAAAAAATTTTTAATTAATTTAATTAATTTGGAAAAATAACATATATTTTTTTATTAATAAGAAAGCAGACAAATATATTATCAATAATCATAATATAGTTTTTTGATGCCATTTGTTATATCCATTGCTAATTAACAAATCATCAACTAATTGCCAATTAATTAATAATTGAAATATTGTATCCGACAATTTTTAATTAATTATTATTATCAATTACTTCTATTACTTTAATATTTCTTTTTAAAAAGAAAAAAAATAATTAGAAAATAGAATAATCGAAAATTTGCCTAAATAAACTTTTTCACTGCAAAATATCTTTGCTCCTTTTTTTTCTTATTCTTCTTCGTACAAACAATTCTTTCATCAACCCCAAAAATCATCCAACCCAACCATCTTCAAACCACCCCATATTTCCACCTATATCACAATCTACCCTAATACACCCTTAAAATTTTCCTACAGACATTTCCCAACACAAAAAAAAAAGTTACAAAGCTCGTCCAACTTTACTCCCCCTCTCCCTCAATTCGGGAAACGCGCAGAAAATTGCAAATTCTTTTCCTCCACCGTATAGCTCATCCACCGTGGAACGGCAACGAACTCGATCCAACAGCGCATCACTGGATAAGCCGTTTTTTTTTTTTTTTTTTTGGTAAGGTTGAAACTCTTCCTGGTCGAGCTTGTATATTTAACTCTCGCTTGTCAGCTCCTCTCCACCCCCTCGTGAAAAAAAAAAAGGAAAAAAAAAAGGGACGTTTCCACGCGTGAACGTGTGCGTGCGAGTGTGGTCGTCGGCTGAAAATACGGTTCTCCGCTGATTACGAGTTACGTTCCACGAAATTTTTGCTCGTACACCCCACGTTTTAACCCTTGTTCCCGCTTCGTGGACGTTGCACCGCGTTGCGGGCTCACTGGTCGAGAGAATTAGTATGGGCACAGGTTCAGTTTGTCGCGTTTTATTTGCACACGTGCAAATGATATTTACGTTAATGTTATTCGCGTTGAATTTTCTCGGGCTTTTTATGGAATGAAATAGGTTTTTGTTTTTTTGGAGGAGTTTTTTTTTTTTTTTTAGAGATGTAATTGAAGTTGATAGGATTGGAGATGGTTGGAGGTTGTTAATTCGGGAAGGATTAAAGCTTACGAGCTTTGTAAGCTGAATTCGTTATTTTCTGGCAACTCTCTTTGCTTATTGATATAGGGCGATATTTGGTAAATTGTGAAATAATATGGACGGGTATCGTAATGTATATGTATTACTTCGTTTATATTATTTCCAAATTTGTTTAATTTTCTTTGGTTCTGGAATATTTCGTTTTCGATATGTAAAATATTTTCTTGAAATAAATGCAGATTATAAATCTACATATTGTATTATCTATAGAAAATTTTATTGTGAATTTTGTATATAATAATGTATGGAATGGATGAAATAAATGTTTTTTTTTTTTATTATTGAATTTATTATGTTCTAATCTGTAGATAAATTTTTGATTAATTTAATTAAAAAACTAAATTGAAAAAGAATTTATTCAATATTAATTTGAACTTGCTATAAATTAACGCGTGATTGATGAACTTACAGAGAATATACTGTACAAATTTGCATTGGCTATTAATCGCGAACGATATGTTTAATGTTCCGCATCCTTGTCTTTGTGTGATCGTTGATGAAATATATACGCTGTTGGTAAATATATCAAGCCATATTTTACGATGTCCATGTGTTAAACATGATTTTATATATATCGTAAATTAAATAAAATTTATTAATAAAAATTCATCGCGTTTTCACGTACTTCAAGCATGAAAAAATATATATTTTTTATAAGCTAGAGAAACATCTTGGAGTAAGATGAAGTATTATTATAACTTTAATAATAATTATAAAAAATTTCACGAGATTGTTTTTATTTAAATAGGACGTGGATTCAAATAGTTCTCCCTTTCCCTCTCCCTCTTATTATATCTAATGTGAATAATAAAAATAATATTATTTGTTATCAGTAAATGATTAATTTGTAACATGTTAATATGTTTTATATTTCATATTTTTACTGTATAAATTTTAAATTTAAAAATTGCAATAATAATTTTTACATTTTAAACGACGATAATATCATATCTCCGATATAAAATTCGTCTAAATCGTTTCTTCCTTTCTTCCACAAAATCTCTCAGCTATTAAATCACTTTGATGGAACACAGAAATAATCGTTTTACGATAATTATCGTTTACAGATAATAAGCGGCGGTAACCTTCGCTGCAGCAATAAAAAAAAATTCCACCTCGATCGATATCATTTTCCATTAAAAGGGATGATCGACTTAAATTGCCGTAATTTTCTCTGCATTCTTTAAAACATAGAAAACTTATATTTATATAAGTTTATATTTATATTAAAACAAAACACATAAATTATTCAAGAAAACATAAATTAAGATTGAAAATAAAATAAAATTTAATGAAAATCAAATGAGATAATTCTAAATTCCATTTCTTTTCTCATTCTCGAACATTCTCAAGATTCGAAAAAGAAAAAGAAGAAGAAGAAGAAGATTGATTTAATTCTCAGATTTCTCGAGACGATCTCGATTTCAGTGGAATTGGCGAATCGCGTTGATCGCGTAGCTTGGGATTAAAATTTCACGTTCGAACGCGCGATAAAATATTCTATGCTCCTCAAACATTTTCAAACGATTCCATTGCCAAAGCTTCGTTTTCCTTCGAAATAACCGTGAGAAAACGAAATTTCAACGGATATGTTTCCCTCTCTTAAATTGTATATCGCGAATCATGGGAAAAGAATAAACGATTTTCGATTTTATCGAATTTTTAACGATGATCGCAATTTTTAATCTCGTAAAAGAACGAAGAAATGGAGGAAATAGGATTGAAAAATTGAAAAAAACTTGTTGCCGGCAAGATTGAGATTTTTCTGATTCTTTAACGTAATTTATAATTTATATTGATATATTATATTATGTTCACTATTATCGATGTTTAAATCCAAACAACTTCAAATCACATTCAGGAAATTATAAAACTATCACAAAAAGAAACCAATCAAGTGACACGAATCCCAAAAATACAGATATATGTATAAATAAACGTGTATATAATATTATATACATATATGCAAATATATATTATTCACACTATTATCAGTGCACAAATCCATCCATAATTTCAAACGTGATTTATTCTCACAAAATTAAAAAACCACCACTATCAAAAAGAACCAACTAAATGACAACAACAGATCTCAAAAATTCACAGTCTTTAACTTATCTCTTTTCTTATCACCATCCAACCAATTCGGATCGAAGACAGAGAAAAATAATTCCCTTTTGATCAAACGGTGCACCCCTCGAACAGTAAAAACTCTAAGATCGATTGACTAATTTTTTCTCCACTAACGAAATCGCTGGAAGTCTGTCTCGGCCTAGCGTCGCGTTTTAAATGCGCTTCCTCTGTCCATAGCCAACCCCATTAACGATTGCAACAGTCCTCTTTCATCCCCTCCTCACCCCTCTTTCTTCGTCAGAACGATATTCGCCTCCGCGGCCAAAGCAAAGAACGGAGGAAGGGGGTGAGACAGAGGAGGATGGAGGAGCCATCGAGGGGGTGACTCGGGGACAGAATGGAAAATACTTTGTGTCGAGAACTCGAGCCGAGGGTAAGCCGACTGAATGAGGGGGCAAAGACGTGTATGCGGCTGACACTCGAACAGCCCAGCCTGCTTCAAAAGAGTGGCACACAACCGGTGGAGGGGTGAAAGGGATGAAGTCTACCACTGAATGGAGGTTATATGTTTTAAGAAACTTCCGGCCGTCGAACTTGATGGACGAAAGCATATGTCGATGATCGTATTCCTTCTGCATATATCAGATGCTCGAGAAGCATCTTTGATTTTTGAAAAATATATCAATTTTCTTTTTTTTTTGATGTGAGTTTCTATGAGCAATTTATTTTTATTTCGCTCGATGAAGATTAGATCCTAAGTTGTATAAATTTGATTTTTGAGAAATATATCATTTTCTTTGATGTAAGTATGTTTAAGAGCAATTTATTTTTATTTTGGTTGATGAAAATTAGATTTTTAATTTTGTTGTTTTTTTTTGCATCAATTGTATAAGATCTTGTTTGAGAAATTTATTAAGGAACGAGTAATTTTCTTGAAATTTTGCTTAAAAAATATATATATCATTTGAATTCTGAATAGTATAGTAATGAAATTATATATTTTAGAAATCTATATAGAATAAAATTCAGCAATTACTTTTTATCTCTCATGTATAGTTTTTACAAGTATATCAAATTTAGTGAAACAAATAAAATTATGGTTTATAGTGTTTATGGTTTTCACCTAATATTTCTGCTCTTTTGGAATAAAGTTTCCTCATCTTAAACTAATTAGAAAAACTATAAAAACATTCAAAATTCTAAAATTATTTAACTTCAATCTTATTTAAATCCACTACTAAAACTACTACTAAATTTACATTATTTAATTCAAAATTATACCTATTTATTTTACATAAAATTTCTCCCTTTCCATTTCTAAAACAACATCTTAAAACTTTTCTTGTATCTCCAAAACTTCAAAATTAACATCAAAGAAAATTCTTTTGAAAATTTCTACCAACTTCCACCAGAATATTTCTCTCTTATTAATTCAAACCCAGATAATTAAATTATCTCAGTCTATACATTCTCAATATACATTCTCAGTATACATTCTCAGTATACATTCTGCCAAAATTCCCTTCATTTTCATTAAGAACACGGTATATATATTCAAGAAAGATCTCTTCTTGAACATCATCTCACTGAAACCAAACTTCTCGAGACGTTCCTCTTTCTCTGACCCGCTTCCACCCTCTCCGCAACTCCGTAACGCGGTTCGAGCATCCTCGCCACAACAACGTAACGGATTGTATACTGACCAACTCCGAGAAGAGCCGCCTGGCAGAGATATTGTCTGGACACCAGGCATTGGGCAGATGGTCTGGCGGTAACGACTCCCCAAGCCGCGCAACCGAGAGCCGCTGCCAAGCCTAGGCAAGTTTGCAGGAGCACGACCGCACTAGCCTCCAAACCGTCTTTGTGGCCCTGGATAGCCTGGAACCGATGTGTTTCATTAGCTGATTGATATGGAAAGAAAAGTCGGCTAGAAAAGTGATAGAAGGAAGGTTCATTTATTGGCCAGATCAATAATGTTGAAAGATGTTTGATGAATAGAATTGGTTAAAGTAGTTTCTTCAGAAGAACTAAAATTTTGGAATTTATTTTTTTAAATTTATAATAGAGGCCTGGAATTTTTGGAAATGTTTAAATGTCCAGGAATCGATAGAATTCCTAGTGTGAAATCAAGAATTTAAAGTTATTATGCTTTGGGATTTATAATAGAAATCTAGGATATTTGTAGTTAATTTTTAAAGATGTTGACACTAGATATTCAGGAATTAATAATATATCTAATGCGAATTAAGAATTTGAAATTTGTATATTTCTTAAGACTAAATTAAGGATTTGGGATTAATTTAATTTATAATAAGGTTTAAGATACAAAAAAGGTTTTGAAGATGAATTCAGATATCAAAGGAGATCCAATTAGATCCAATTGTATTTAAGGATAATTTGATAATTACGTAGCTTGAAATTACGTAGCTTTGAGATACTAGGAGTATAATTGTTGCAAGATGCGGAGGAATGTTGTTTACAAGATATATTTTAGATGGTGAATATCAGATAGTAAGGAAGAAGATTTTGTGATAAAAGAACGATGAAATATAATACTGCAATTACCATAGAATATTTAAGTCGTATCAAACTGTAAAATAATACTGTAGAAATTAAAACAATATTGAAAAAAAAACTGATCGAAACAGAAGAAACAACAATTATATCCAAAATATAAATTTATAATAAAATCTACTTATAAATAGATTTATAAATATTTATAAATAGATTTTCAGTGCTCGAAAATGATTCCTACAGATCCAAGAACAATTTCATGAATTTCTATAGAGTTTGAAATACTAACTAATATATACATACACATACACAGAAACAGAAACAGAATGGTAGAGAGGCAGGGTTAGCCACGATTATGAGTATGTAAGCTTGCTAACTTTAACGAAACTTCATTCGAGGATAAAGTTGCTAACTGTGGTCCGTTGGCTGTGGTTTCTCTGATTGTTGTTGAGGTGTACGCATGTTCCTGGCAGTTTGATTCGACCATTTCGAACTGACCAACCATCTGTCAACTGAGCTTTTCGTTCAAAAGTTAACTCCATTACTATTTCCATTTTCGACACACCGTACATATATACGACAGAATTCTAACTGTTGGAACGAAATTTTGATTCAGGTCCAGTTAACTCAACTTCCACCGATTAAATCCACTAATCTGACCACGAACTCGTATTATTTACGCAAGAAATTGCACATAGTGGAAACAATCAGCAATTTCTATTACACGACTTATTTGTCTCTGGTTTAGATAAATGAAGTTCTCAATTGTAAATCGAAAGAGAATTGCAACGATTTCAAACTAATCACAGTCTTCGAGTAATAATTTAATTCGATGCAAAGTACGTACAAAACTTTTATTTATTGAATATATTTACTGGATTTAGAGATTTCAAGTATAACTAATAAAGATTAAAGATCCAACAAATAATTCTTTAAGAATTTTTTTTAATTTTTCTTCATTAGTTTAATATTACTTAGCTAACCAAAAAGAAACAATCTTTGTCTAATTCTAATCATAAAAATCATTACACATCACCTATGATATATATATATATATGTATGAATATTTCTTTAAAGGAAAATTCTACATTATATTTTTCTGTTTTTTAGGAACAAGGAAAAGATTGTTTCCTTTATCAATTTATTTTCTCAAAATTACAAAATTAACCAACCAAGCTATCCAACCACGTTCACAGGTTCAACAACAACCCTTTTGTGTAAACCATCAACTTGCCTTTTGGCACGCTAATTAAGGTACTCACGATGTAAAAGGCGGGCGTATAAAGACCGAAACCGGCTGCCCCGGCAGCCAGCATCAACATCCTGACAGGGCGACTTCCAAGAGGGCTGAGATCCACCCACGGCTGCCTTGGCGGCTTCGACGGGGTCTTCTTCTCCTTCAACTTCCCACCTCGTTGATTTTTCACGTGTAACATTGCCCGCCGTTGCGGATGATAAAGAGAGGCGCTCTTATAAATCAAACCCAGGAAGAAGGCCAAGGAGAGGGCTCCGGTTACCGACTGCATCCCACGCTCCCAGCCCAGCTTTCTGAGGAAACATCGTGTCGTTACGATCACAGAAAAGAATCGTTTATTTTTACGTAACTTTCGAACCCTTTTTTAAAGTGCTTTCGCTTTTCTCTATTTACATTCTCTCTCATTTTGTTTGTAATCTTTTAATCTAATCTAACTTGATAATTTAACGAATTGATTGAAAATTCTTGCAATTAGCGACCGATTTTAATTATAATACACGTTGATAATATAATACACGTTGATAAAATTGAAACTTGTTATAAATTATTTTTGTTAAATTTAGAAGTTATTATATTATAAGAACAAAGTTTTGATCTATAATTCCATGGAAATTTGCTATTTTAATTTTTCATTTTTATTTTATAAGGGATGGAGAAAGAAGAATAATCTTGTTCACGCAGAAAGAGGAAATTTTTTTTACTTTATCGCCTTCCAATGAGAATTCCGAACAATCCAACCGGAGAAAAGAGGAATCCAGTTAAGAAAAGGCGAAATTACGCGCGATGGATTCATGGCCGCTTAGGTTTCGTCGAACGGAGAAAGAGAGGGAAAGAGAAAGAGACAGAGACAGAGAGGTTTCTGTTTCGTCGTTGGCTGAAAACGACCGCAAACTTCATAACGCGACGTTTCGCCGCAACTGGAGTCAGTAAACTCGAGCCGGCAGCGAGCCTTCCACGCTTTTGTTTCGACGAGGCATTAAACTTTACACGTGGTGGATCGTTTGTAATTCTATGAGAAGGGAAATTTCCACTTTTTTCTTCCTTCTTTCTTTTTTTTTCTTTTTTTCTTTTTTTTCAAACTCTTTTCCAACGTTTTTTACGCAGTGACAATTTTTTTTCCGAGCACGTTATGACGAATAACGAACCTTGGTCCCGTCTGCCTCGATAAATGTTATCCCCGAAACGAAATTTTTTATTCGTCCTACCACGCATGGATTCGTACTATTTGCGTACAAAAGGTGTGAATTGTTGAATTGTTTTTAGCTTACTCGCTCGTCCAGATTTAATTGTTCCATTCTTTTTTTTTCTTTTTTTTTTTTTTTTGAATATGTTCGGATCTCTTATCAACAAAATTAAAATAGATTTTTTCTCATTCTAATTGTAAATCTTATTCGAGAATTTAATAAATCAACGAACGGAATAAGAATTTTGAAGAAACGTGAGATAAAAAATTAATCTACGTTTTGTAAATCAAAGGACGAATCTGAAACGACATATAAATAAAGATAGAAATTTAAATAATGGGGTCGAAACGACGAACACGTAAAAGCTAATATCTGATTGCTCGTTGGAATACATGAATATTCTGTTTACCGGGTTACTGCATCGTCGTTTGACTACGTACGAGCATCATAGAACCCCATGCGAGATGCCAGGTCAGGTAGACATAGACCACGTCTGACTCGATACGGGATTATTCTCCTCGCCTGTCGGTACATTACCGCTCTACTTGCACAGATGTTGACCTCTTCTACTTGCCTGTATACAAGTGTACCTGCGCTACTTATCTGGCTAGATACGGTATCGCCGATGGAAACGCCCCGTTGAACTTAAAATGGAACTGCTTACTCGGTGCGCACACGATATCGTTCTGTTTAATTACATGCACTTTCTGCGAATGGTCACTCCGCTTAATCACAATAATAACGATATATCTATCACGCTCCACTCGTTCTTCTTTCCTTTCACCAACGATTCTTATCTTCTTTCGACGATTTGATTTTATTCACTTTATTTCAAATTTCAAATTTTTGGATTAGATTTTAGCATGCTTCCCATTCTAGAGTTTTCCTTTCAATTTTTATCGCAAATCATCATCTCGATTTTTGAGATCTAAAGAATATAAATAAAATAAGATATGCAACAAAATAATCTTTCACTCGACTAGGAAAAATTTACGTAATTTTTTTTTTTTTTTTTCCTACTCGACAAGAAAGAATTTAGGTCGAGAAGGGTCGAAGGAACGAGAGACGAGTTGATTCTCGCGTGTCAGCCATGAACAATAGCCCATCCTTATTCGTCGCTTATTGCAGGGGTGAAAGACGGAGGGCAACCGTCAGCCGACGTTTACGACGTTCCTACGCGTTTCCTCGAGAACACCTTTTATTTCCTTCTCTCGGCTGCCACGTGCGCTTTCTTCCACACACGAGGGACGTATCGTTTTACGGTGGTGTGTTACAGGCATAATAAATAACAGGTGACGAGGTATTATGATCGTCTTGCCTAGCACGGCCGTACGCGTAACACGTGTCGCGTTAATGTCGTACTTATACCACTGGCACGTCCATTCTCGAGCACGCGTTCTCTTGTTTAACGGTTTTATCGATTGCAATATGATTAAAACTTGCAGTGTTCCCCATTTTTGTGTTTTCTAACGAACTTGTTGTCACTGAATCCGATTTTAAAGTTTGTTGTATTGAGGAGAAGTAATTAAAATATGAAAAGCTACAATAAGGGAAATAAAAGAGAAAAATGAAACACTAAAATAATGGAAAGTTGATCAATAAATTGAATTATTAAAATAATTATTAGAATAGAATCGATCAAAAAAATATAACAATTTCATGTAATTGGTATAAATATGTAGTCACGCTAACTTTATGGGGACATATATCTATTTCATAGCTTGTCAAACGTGAAATTATACCCACTTGTCGGACTCTATACATATTTCCCTGTTATATTTCCCTGTTAGTTGTTCAGTTAGCTATAAACTCGTTTTACTCGAGTTTTCACATGATTGTACTTCACTCGGCTAAACGCGGATTCTATTCTACTTGTTTGCATATTACAAGAACGCTTGTTCTACTTTCCACCCGAACAGATTTCGATTCTTCTCCATTTCCATTTCTGTTTTGAATTTCACATCGGTTATCAAGTGTCTTTTCAAAATTAATATCATTCCAATATTTATTTTCAATTTAACGAGATAAATATCTCTCGTAATAAAGAAATCACAGAGAATATTTCTGCAACGAGATCTTCCCTTCATTTCCCAAGTTAAATTAATAGCGAAAAATAAATAATAAATAATAAATAACAATACTCTCTCTCTCTCTTATCTAATTATCCAATTTCATTCCACGCAGAACACATAAGAATATCAACCCTTTTTACACACGAAGACATGTATACAAATTCTTGAAATCTGAAACTCCCCTTGATTTATTCCTATAAAGCAAAACGAACATTCTCAGAAGATTCACTCTTGAGAACCACGCGTAGAAATTATAACTTATAAATTATAAATTTATAAGATAAAAATAAATGATAATGATGAAAGTACCAACGAAAATCCACACAACTCGCAGGAAGTTGAAATATAAGTTTGCGACTGCAACAGCCGCCGAATACGCGTGAATTTCAACGCCCACGCACTTTTCGTGTAACCAAGGGCAACGCGATTTTTCCATCCCACGCATCCGATAAATCTACCTCTGTCTTCTATCTCTATTCTGGCCGTACTCTATTCAATGCCGGGTATTCACCGCGCCGCCGAGAGAGAAAGAGAGAGAGAGAAAAAAAAGAGCATCAATCGGGATATCTCGCATCTGAAACAGCGCAGAAAGTTAGCAAACGTCGAAATGATACAGAGACTTGGGCGAAACGTTGGCCACCATCAATCAAACGCCATTCGACGGCCCATCAATCAATGATCAAACCAATCAACGGTGTTGCTCGATCGATGAAACGTCGTCGTCGCGTCGTTCAACGCAGTTGTTGATGAATATCTAGCTAGAAAAAATATTTGAAAAAAAAAAATATATATATATTTTTTCGATCGAACGAGAAATTTTCATTTTCTTGTAATTAGAATCTCGTGTTCTTGGAAAAAGAGAATTGTGGTTCAATTATCGAAATATCGAATATATTTTATATACTATATGAAATTTGAGAAATTAATTCTGAATCGATGTCGATTAACAAAATTATCGTACAACGTACGAACAATTGTTTTTAACTTTTTTTTTCGATATCAAGCACAAGTTTTTGAATTTCAAGAAAAATATGTATGAACGAGTTGTGATAGAGCATCGAACAAACTCAAAAGCGGCGAATTACGAAATTAGAGAGATGTAACTCGATCGTTATTAGCGTGTGTACGAATAAACGAAGCAGACCAGCATTCGTTCTGTTTAGGAAATTATAGGAAATGAAATTGTATCGTGCGCTGCTTGCCACTAATTGAACGAATTCACATTCTCGTTTCTCGGGAATATTTAGAGAATCCTGTAATAGATAAAATTACATGGTTAACAGACTTTTATTTCACGAGTTCGTTCAAATAATGGAAAAAAGCCTCATAAACTGAATTATTTTAAAATAACTAAAATTTTATATTTCATTTACTTTTTCGTCTATTCGTTTCGCTTTTCTCTTAATATAACATTTTCTTCATCGATCAATTTTCTTCTTGTAGAATTATTATACTGTATATGATTTTACAATGTTTTTAATTTTTGTAAAAATTTCGTAAATTAATTTAATTAAAATTAACAAACAAAAAGTAGTTCTATCTTCGTTAATAGAAGATCCATAAAAAGACAGTAAAGTTTCTGTTCCGTTTAAAGTTTGAAGATATTTTTGTAAAAAATATAATCAATGAATGTAAGATAGAAATTAAAAAAAATGTTTATTCAAACAAAATGTTTATTAAAACAAAAAATAGTTCTATCTTCGTTAATAGAAGATCCATAAAAAGACAGTAAAGTTTCTGTTCTGTTTAAAGTTTGAAGATATTTTTGTAAAAAATGTAATCAATGAATGTAAGATAGAAATTAAAAAAAATGTTTATTCAATTAGCAAGCATTAAATTTTTACTTTGACGAATGATTTAAAATCGAATCGAAGTTTTGGAGTCGAATTTGCATTTGGATTATTCTCGGCCGAAGAAACTCGACGCCACGCACCTGCAATGCAGTGGATTCGCTTGTGTGCCATGGATCACCTGTCCAGACGCGGGAAAAGCATTAATCCGTTGGCAAATGGCTAGAAATCGAGTCTGATCTCCGACGATTAAGCTATCTTAACGATGCAACAAGTCATTTTGGTGATTCGAGGATTTCCTTTAGCTATTCACTCATTTCCCTTCAAATCTTTGGGTATATTGGAACAAGATTGATAATTTTCAAATCTTTGAATTTTGTTCGTTCAAAAGAAATAAAAATAATTTAATATAAATCTAGAATCAATGGCAATAAATAAGAATCAATGCCAAGTAAAGATAATTTCATATAAAAGCAAATTCCTTTGAAACGAATTTATTCTTCTTGGAATTTCTCCTATATTCGATCTCTAGAATATTATTTAAACAGAGTTTCTTCTTCACGTTTTTACATAACATGGACAAATACATGGACAAAAACATGAAAATCGTAAAAACGAATTATAGAACTTATTCGCCTCGTTTCTTTTCGATCCTTAAAAATATAACTTAACACACAATCATAAATCTACGGATTTGGATTAATATTCCTGAAAAATAAATTTTGAAAGATAGTTAAACAATAATAAATTTTAATAGAAAAGTTTCAGATTAAATTTAATTTTAAATTTCAAGAACGAAAAACGCAGGACAAAATGTTCGAGAGAATGTTCTAAACATCAAAAGAAAACTTCTTGAAATGAACTTATAATCCATCAAACTAGATTTCGACGTGCCCAACTTTAACTTTTAGCCCCGAGTTACCCCGTACGAGATTTAATTATGAGCACTGTCATCCTCGTCAAATTTACGATCTTTCCTCTGGGTTCGTTTAATTAAAAGCATTTCGAACGGGCCATTTCTTCGTTCTTCACTGCCGTTTAATATTCGCCGGTGATCGAACCGTCAAACTAACGAGGAACACCGGGGAAAAGTAATTCTCGAAAGACTTTTCGTTTCTGGGATTGAGATGTCGAGAGCAAGAAGATGATTCGTTCGAGGGTGTTCGAGAAATTTTGGAAAATTATTATAACAATGATTCAAGTAAAAATTTATGAAAATTACGAAGAAAAACGAATTCTCAAGATAAATACAATAATAACGTGATAGATCTATCATTTGTCAGAAAGTGAAATAAAGCGATAATGGTCAGACGAATAAAGCATTTCTTCGGAGTAAGAATGAAGTATCGGAAAAAAGACATGAAAATATTCAATAAAATAAATTAAATTTGAAAATTATTTATCGTTAAGAAAATTATGAAAGTATACGATATTTTACGATATAGTTATTTAGAACATAATGAAATCGAGGAAGTATATATATATATATATATATATATATATATATTATGTATATATTATGGTACTCGAGTAAGTAGAAGAGGATCGTATCTAGCCAGACAAGCAAAATTTCCGATATAACGAGGAAATTACGCGTTAGAAAAGTAGAACGAGATCATATTTGATTCAGCAACCAGAATTGCTTTAATCATGGAAAGTGAGTATGTTCTTTCATGCAGAACGAGTCCACTTCAAGATATTTTCTTTTTCAATGCGATTTACAAAAGAAATATATATAAAAAAATTTTTATTTCCGCTTAGTTTAAACAAGAAAATTTTACTCCCGATTTTTATTTCATTTTATCATATGCTAGAAGCATATGCTATTTCCATCGCAATACACCATATGAACGTGATATATTAGAACACGTGTTAGAATTTATCGACGTTCGGACAAACATCAACGACAAATAAATTGTACTGACGTTAGAAATGGAACGGAGCATCGAGAAAAATGGACGTGCAATTATTTCTACGCGTCCTGTTTTCAACGACACGGATAAAGTAAAAATCCATTTTTTTTTTTTTTTTTTTTTTGAAATTTCATTCCTTGCAATTTACATCGTTCGTCGTTACGCGTCGATACTTAACAGATACCTCTGTGATCTTCGTTTTTCTTTCACGTCGATAACACGTGGCAGAAAATCGTTTGCAAAATAATCGACAATCGTTGAAGGAAAAAAAAAAAATTGACGATAAAAAACGGTTAAATTGCTCGCGTGAGAAAAAACGTGATATCAAATAACGTGATTGGTGGTCGATTTGTTTCGTTCAATTGTATGAAACGTGTTCGAGCAAGAATATATCGAAATGTTTGAACGAAGTAATTATTTCTGTTACACTTCTATTTCTCGATTTTTAATTTCTTGTCTTCTTTGAATACGAATTATCGATTTAATATATGAGAAATATTATATTTCGATGTAAAATTATTCAATGAGTCGATTTATTTACGTGATCTTACGTTTCTTTTAAATTTCACTTCTTAATTACTACATAGATTTAATATTTTATTACACATGATATTAATTTATTTGTTTAAAGTCGTATTTCTTATTTGTCTAATTAATCATTCATCTAATATTTAATTGTACGTTAAATTATCGTCGACGCATAATTGTTGACGTGTAATCTATGTGTTTGATTAAACGATATCGTGTATTTATTTGATTAATATGTGATTATTGTCGCGCGAGATAGCGAGCCGTTCTACTTGCTCGATTACATTCAATTCTATTCTACTTAGAGCTCCAGAGACATTGATGTTATGATTCTATTTATCCATTCAGATATATGTATCTATTCTACTTATTAGGCGGCCATAGTTATTCAGCTGGCCCCGTCGGATCAGATATACAACTGCTCTACTTGTTCGATCACACGCGATTCAAATTCCATTTTCCTGTACCAACAATGATGTATTCTACTTGCTTGTCTATACGCGTGATTATTGTGCACCTCATAATTGAACATCGTAGCAATAGCTATTTTAATATCCGACTTTAAAATTCGATTTTAACGAATAGGAACATATATCGCGGAATAATAAATATATTTGACAAATTCCCCATTTTAATTACAAAGTTTTCACTATTATATAACAAAAACTATTAAACTGAAACTAATTTTCAGTACGACGAATCCTCCACCCATAGAAAATTCTCTAGAGAGCTTTCGCCACGTATAGTCAATTAAATCTTTCGACGCGAAACAACTTTTATAAATATCGAACTTCTATAATTTTAACGGTTTTAACTCTCAGCTTAAGTAACTTCTACTGTTATTTCCACAGTTTTACTCCAATTCGATTCCAATTTTTTTCTCCAGTAATCAACGATATTAAACTTTTTATAACGAATCTTTCATATATCTCTTTTAACATTAAATCTATTAATTCTTTCGTCTTGAATTCTGTAATCAAAAAATACCAAATTTAAATCAATTTTGATTGAAGCAAAATCACTTCGCGTTAATCAAATCATAACAAAATTTCAAATCAAAACTTGAATCTCTTCCCTTCGAAACATTTCACATAATCGAATATCGCTCGAACGAAATTCTCCAAAATAATCTTCCCTACGTCAAAAAATTTCAAATCGAAATGTAAATCGTCTCGATATAAATCACTTTTTTGCTTCTACACATTCGACATTCCAAAAATTCCACTTAAATCAATTTTCACTCGAACTCGAAACCCTTTTACAACAACTTTCGCCTCATATACCGAAATTTCAATTCCTAAATCTTCATCGATCTTCTCGAAAATATAAATCTAACTTTTCACGTTACTTACACATATACGTGCAACGATCAAATGTATCAAATCAATTTTCGCCCAAGCAAAAATTCCTCCTCCTCCTCCAAGGAATTCCCCTCGCATCAAATTAAAATTGAGAATCTCACCGCGAAAACACCATTTAATATTCTATTATTAATATTCTATTCCCACGTCATCGTTCCAACGAGTTATTCGACGAATATTCCTATCTGGCGGAGGAAATACAACCGATATATAACTTACCCGACTGCCTCCCTGTAGAAGACGCTGAAGAGCACGATCCCCACCCCCGTGCCAGCTTGCACGACCATCTCGACGAACTCTCGCCGTTTTCTGAAGTAATGGCCCAGCACCAGACCGGCAGTTTCTCTCACGAGGCCAGCCCCGGTGCCCAACACCACGCCGTAGCTGTTACATTTTGCAACCGGTGAATCGTTCCAGTTCGTGCTATCGCAGTACTGGGAATAGCTTGACGATTCGTGAACAGGGAGAGAGGGGGAGCGGAGGTGTGCAGACAGAGGAATACGCGAATCCGGACCAAGTTTGAGGCGGATTTACGGGATGCGGGTTGTTTCCTCGAAATCGGCAAATTCGCTCCTGTTCCTTGCGAGAGGATCGAGAGATGTTGCGTGAATTTAACAGTTAAAGTTAAGAATAAAGTTACTTCGATGATTCGCCTCGTTCTAAACAAAATTCATCGTTCGAATAACGGGAAATGAGTGTAGTTGCAAAGAGTCATCAAGAGTTGAACGTTGAAATGTTATTTTGAATAAGTAATTGGTTAAAGTAACTTTATTCGAAATGTTTAATTAATTATTTTTTTGTTAATTAGGGATTCACGCCCAAGTCTGGTGAGAAATAACTAATAACTAAATAACTAATAACTAAATAAATAATCGCGAAAGTTTGAGGTAATTTGGTATGAAATTAATAATTCGATAATGTTTTTATGGAAGTGGATTAAAGATTACAAAGGAACGGAATGAAGAGAAAATGGATCCCTTGATAATTTTTGAGGAAAATTAATATAATACTTTTCGCAAAGTTTCTTTCCCTTTCTTTCTTTTTTTCTTTTGACGGAAAATAAATTACATCGCATTTTCCTTTTTCTTTTCCTTTTCCTTTTCCACTTTAATGCTATTGCACTATTTGTTAACGCTATTTGTCTCATATATTTCTCGGGCCAAATCCTGTTAATTCTTCCTTTTCGTGTAGCTAAGCTTTCAACGAAGACCGATCGACTTCGATTCGGGCTATCGAAAGGTCGTATCTCAAGGAAGCCGCAAGGGTCCCGCGTATTCTTCCCTCCCGTCCATTTTTCACTTCCAGAAAAACTCAGTTTTGCGTTTCAAATAAGGAACGAGTGTCCCGGCGTTAATTCGTATTACTTTCAATTTGAATTTTAAATGGAAGCCTCTTCTACCTTCGTTGTACTTGCGCGTACAAAAATATCGCGTAAAAAAAAAAAAGAAAAATAATAATTAAATTCGTTACGTTGAAAAGTATTTTTTAAAAATTTCAAAACAGGAATTGGAAAAATTTCGAGGAGGACTTGAAGAAATTGGAAGAACGAATTTGCCAGAATTTCATGGAAACGCGAACTAATTCATCAAGATTTAAGAAAACGCGAATTATTCTGCAAGGATTCCGAGGAATAAATTCATGAGGTTTCGAGATTAATAATTCATCATTAAAAATTCAACGTGAATAAATTAATTTTCGAGAAAAATTAATTGATTTACAAATCAATTTAATTCGCGACACGATTTTTTTCATTGTTGAACGAATGGTGTTACTGTAGGGGGAAAAAAGGCTCGTGAGATTTATCCACGAAGCAGGGAGCAGAATTGTAATTTTTAAAACGAGCTAGCATTTGTTGCGTTTCGGATGAATTATTAATTCTATGCAAGCGTGCGTTGCAATCTCTGATTTTCAGCGGGAGTTCGGAACAAGTTTTTTGCGAGTTTACTTTGAAAGTTAAAATGGATAGGGAAGGAAAAAAAAAATAATTAAAGAAACAAAATAAATAAAAAAATAAAGAAAGAAAGTCCACGAATTAATTTTATCTTTGAGATTTAAACGCGAGGAAAGTTTTTAATTAAATGCACGATACTAAATTCGAAACAATTTCTCCGACTAAAATTAAAAGAAGGGATAATCGTCATGCTTTATCATTATCTTTCATTCACGAGAAAACAAGTTTCCAAACGCTTATAGAATTAATCAACTCTGTACTTTGAATTAATTAAAAACTTCAGAGATCACTTCAAGTCCCTTCTTCACAAATTTACCGTGTAAATAATTCATTAAATTCAAAATTTATACAAATTTATTCAATAAATATTTTTCTAAGTATCTACTTTTTCAATTCCGGGTTGATTTATTATTAGCGCGAAGCAACGTGTTAAACTAAACGCTAGAAATTACCAAACTTAAAAAAACTTGAAAAAATATCGATATCCCTCCTAATATTGCTTTAATTTTATTCATCGTTAAATATTTTAATTACAAATTCGATAATTCTAGCGTTCTAATAAGTCAAATAAATTCAAAGAAATACGAAATAATGATTGTAAGTTTTTAGAAAAGAAAAGAAAAAAGTGTGGAGTCGCTCACCTAAGGAGTACCTGGTGCAATTCTGCGGCGAAAGAGGTGAAGAGGGAGGCCAATGCCAGCACGAGACCCCCGATCACCGCTGTAAGCCTTGTACTTCCTCGACGACACGCGCCAACTACCAAGGGTGCCGATCCACGCGAGACGGCAGCGCTCAAAGCGCCCACCCACGCTGAAACGTTAATTCGATAGTTAGTCTAAGCCAAAAACTCAACTTACACTCGTTCCACTCGTTTTCTCCCAAGTGAAATCTACCGAGGAGAACACGTACGCGTATCTACTCCATGGAAATCGGAGTGGAATTTTTTTTCCAATTTGGAAAAGTGACTTTTCGGATTCGGAATAAATATCGTGAGTAAAATTCGCTCGAATATTTCTCGATACGCCATTTAAATCTTCCATTATTATCCAATTCTTCTTCTTTCTTTATTTTATAATAATGGTCTTATTTTATTTTATCTATATAATTTATATAATTTTATCTATCAAGAAAAAGGAGATCTTCGATTCGATTCCTATCGAAATTAATCTACAACATACAACATAAAATCTACATTTCCATTGGAAATGATTAAATATAATAAATCTCGTACTTCCAACATAAAAATAATATTCCTGTCTCGACATCCAATTCTTAATATCTACCTAAGGAAGAAAGATTCGATTCGATTCCCCGATTCGATCGATCAATCTCATTTGAAGAAGAAGATGATCCAAAATTCTTATTTTATATTATTATTATTTTATAATAATGGTCTAATTATCGTAATGGTCAACGATGATTACAAAAATCGATGTCCAATAAAAAAATATTAAAAATAATGAATGAGATTCGATCTGAAAGTAAGAATTGCGAGGATCGATTCGAATCCATCCTTTTGAAAACTCAACTTTTTAACGTTCTTTTATTGTTCCACGAGGAATGTCATCCTGAAATTTCATGCAATCTCGGTTACTCATATTTTACGGTTAATTAGGAGGCCGATGGAGCGATTCACGTAACCAATTCGAGTAATTAAGCGGGGATCTCCCGCTTAATTTGTTCACATTACGCTCTTCTAATTAGTTTGATGAAAAGAGGTGGCGCGCTCGCGAGGAAATTCTTTTCCATTATTTTGCGGGACGGCCGTTTTATCGGGGGACCAACAATATGTTGAAACGTTAAGAAGGATCGAGGCAGGATATGAGGAATTTTATTGTTTGACGGTTCTATTTATCTAAAAAAAAAAAAAAAAAAAAAAAAATGACCTCTTTAGTTAAAATTTCTTAACATTGGCGTCAATTTTGTTTCCAACTTTCTATAGTGTATATACGTGAAATTTGAAATATTGGAACACGTTTTGTGAGATGAGAAAATGCTGAAAGGAATTTAACGTTAAATTAAATAAATCTCACAATATATATAAACAATATTCCTCTTGGCGCAATCCTCAATTCGAAATCAAGAAAGAAGAAATTCAATTCCACGATTTGATTAATTTCATCTAGATAAGAAGATCCAAAATTCCAGACACGAGTAAGACATTCGTTTCCACAATCAAAATTAATCTACAACATACAATATACAAGATAAAATCTACATTCCCTCTGGAAATGATGAAATATAATAAATCTCGTACTTCCAACACACGGAAAATAATATCCCTGCTAACATCCAATCCAATTCTTAGTTCGAAATCTATCAAGAAGAAGAGATCTTCGATTCGATTCCTATCGAAATTAATCTACAACATAAAACATTAAAATCTACATTTCCATTGAAACTGATTAAATATAATAAATCTCGTACTTCCAAAATAAAAATAATATTCCTGTCCTGACATCCGATTCTTAATTCAATATCTATCTAAGGAAGAAAGATTCGATTCGATTCCCCGATTCGATCGATCAATCTCATTTGAAGAAGAAGATGATCCAAAATTCGAAAAGATTCTCGACTATGTTACGGGGAGCAGAAGCTGGGAGCAATCTAGATTTTTTGCATTATTCATCGAGTGGAACGTGTTCCCTTTGTCCCGTTTAAAGTCCCCCCATTTTTCATCCTCCCCGAGGGTTGAACGCAAGAACGTGAAACTTGGACAATAATTTTCGTCGGTATTAAACGGCGCGACGTGGCCTCATCGATTTCTAGTTAGGCGACGAGATATATTAGCGCCGACCTGATAACCGATAAACGGCCGGTCTCGATGAAGTTGGAAAGTTAATGAGCGCCCCATCACCTTTGTTCCGCCCGCCATTTTGGAGAACGGCGAAATTATCGCCTTGAGTTATATCGATGCGCCTCGAGATATAGCGGGAATGGGGGTGAAGCTGTAATTTGCATTTGGAATGGACGAGTGTGATGGAAATGTAGAATGTTCGTCGTGGCCATATTAAAACGATGTGCAGGGTATTTCTGTTTAATCGTTCTTTGAGGCGTGGAGCGAGGAGAGAACGAAGAGAAATTTTCGTTTAATTAAGAGCCAGAATTCTGATTATTTTATATACGTCTTTTGTACATCTAGTGCTTTTTTTTTATTGTTCTATTATTAAATTACACTGTTTTAATAAATATATTTTTCGTGTATTGGCGAATGAAATTAATTTTGAGTCATATCGAATTTGAATATTAAACGTTTTAATCTCGTTAATCTTTTAATATTTTATGAAGTGGATAATATATAAAAAGAAAAAAATATGTTAAAGGAATTGGAGAGGACAATTTGAAATAACATTCTCGCAAAATTAAGTAGATTTGAACGGATGCAGCGTCAGCAAGATTCGAGGAAACTTATAAGCTGGTACAAAGTACTAAACCATTCTTAAACAGGAAGCTTCTTGAAAATGGGGAACGGATTCTGGAATAACTTCCTGAATTATATAGTATTTTTAAGTGATGTATGTAGGTACATAATCCTGGAGCATAATGGTTCTGCGCGTCCTTAATTTTACAGAAATCGGCCTGAAACTCGGTAATCCAGATCTAGCCAGATGCGCTTCTCCGCGAATTTGCACGTGGCTACGATAATTTCCATTCCTAGTAGAACGTGAAAAATATTCAGCGATTTAATTGAAGATTAATCTCGGAATAAAAACCGAATTCACCGAAAGAATAATTTAAAGAATTTAAATCGAGAAAAACTAGGTGGAAATCTATAAATTATCTGTTCGTTTTATCCGTTTTTGAAATTAAAATTTCTTTCTTTATTTATTTTTTTATAACTCTATACCCATCGAAATTCTCTTTGCACCGCTCTTCGTCCAACGCTTAACCACTTTCCAGGGTTTCAATTGTGATGTGTTCGAGTTCGATAAGCACGCTCTCGTGTTTTTCCGCTCTATTAACCGGTCGATTCTGAAAAATGTTGTCGCAACAGTTTCGACAACCCTATTCATGGGGTTAAGCGAAGGGGAACTCGGTGTACGTGACCGATCCACCTTTCCTCGACCGGTTGATTAAAATCTCTAAGATTAGATGCCTTTGCTGTTGAAAGAAGTCGAAGACCATACCACTTTAAAATACCCGTAAAAATTCAATAACTGTTACTTTAATTACGTATTTAAAATTACTATGGAAAATTTCAATTACAATAAAATAATAAAAGAATCGATAAAAATTGTCAAAATGAACGCATTGATTCACTTTATAATCAATTCAACGATATTAAACGTACACGTTTCATTTCTTCTCAAAATATATATCCACGTTTTCGTCAGGAATCGTCGAAATCGAGTGTCATGTCGTTGCTGTCGAGGATACATACAAATGAAAAGTGTCATTAATGAAATCTTGAATTATTGAAAAGCACCATCGATTTATCGATTTGGCACGTGAGATTAAGTTCTGTTAGGTGATGACGATTCGATCATCGATTCGCTCCCTCTTCCTCCTCCACACGAACTTTCCACGAACGAGTCGAAACTCATGAATCGCTTCTTAACTTGGTCGCAAACTTTCGAATAGATGGGAATTGGTGCACCGATAATGGTAACGTGCTATTGTCAAGGATGAACGTTTCAAGTCGGATCGAGTTAATAAAAAGAACTTGTGTTTCTTCGGGTATTTTTTGGAATTCAATCAAACTGCATAAAATTAAAGATCACGAAGGAGCTACTAAAGTGTCTAAAAATAACAGTGGAGGATCATTATCAATTTAATTAATAAATATAACTACTCGCGAAAAAGAAACGAGAAGGCGAACAATCAACAAACTTATAATTCAAAACATTCTAAAAATTCTGTAACGAAACAATATTACCTTCATCATTGGGTAATTCGTGAAATTCTTCTTTCGAAGATGGGAATGGAGTTGGAAACGATCGGATAGAATGGCAGAGCGAAATAAATTTAATCCAATCGCGGTGAGGAAGGATCGTTTTCCTTCCTCAATTTCGAAACGGAGGGATGGAAAGCCATTAAGTCGACCATAGGACAGAAAAGTTTCGTCAACGAGCGGCCATACCCGGTTGGAACGTGAAATATTGCGGTGATAATTTCGATAAGATTACGCCCGCACTTCCTCCTCGATCCCACCAGCCAAGTTTTCTATTAAAAAGTCGCAGTCCTCATAACTTCTCTACCTGCTGATTTCCAGTTCCTCGAGGCTTCCGGTCGAAATGGCAAAGGGAGAACGCGACGCAATTCCGACTTCCGTTGATGGCGCGACTTCATAAATCCTTTTAAACTTCGTAATAAATCGGCAAAAATAATTCACGGAAAATTTAAAATATCCGGGATAATTAATTTAAATGTGTAGAACAGAATATAATACAACCAAAAATAAATAATTAAATTAAATAAAAGGAATAAAAATTTCGAGAATAATAAATTGGAGAGAAATTACACTTATTGTGCGATTAAATGTTAAACTATTAAAAGAAAATATATATTAATTATATATCAATGAATTTAATTTCGTAAAGAAAAAAAAAAAAATCAAATCGATTTCGAAATAAATTTCTAAAAGGCGTGAAATCCCAATAACAATTCCATTCTATTAGGAACTCGTAATTCGATCTTTTGTAATCGAATTTCAGAGACACAAGGACTTTCGTAATCCAGTTTTTTTTTTTTCAAAGGAAAAAGGGAATGCGACCGAAAGCGTAATGGCAACGAGGGAAAGGAAGGATTTCAAATGATTTACGAGTGGAAAATCTCTCTGGTCCTTTGTTATAGCGAATGACAGTTCTGAA